ACTGCTGCAAACAGCAGAGATTTGTTGGAAGCAATAAAGATTATCCCATTTGTGTTGCAAACAATACGTGAGATTAAGTTAATAATGTCTGTTTGTGCTTATGTGTGCAGTCCTAGATCAGTAGGACTGGCTGATCTATGAATTCCCCTATGAGATCTTTATCCAAGAGACATGGAAACATGTCCACAAAAATATTTGAGCAAGAATGTTTATAGAAGGTTTGTATACTGTATTAAGTCAAGGTTTTTGAGAGAAAATAATACACAACTGTGTGTTGCTTAATTAAGGCTACATTTTCGTAGCCTTTATTTACACAAACAAGTGGTACAGCCTCTAGCTTCTTAGTGTATTGAAATTCCATATGGGATCATGTGCTAAATGTGGGGGCAGTGAAAAATATTGCAACTGTAAAAGGTTTCTGAACAAATGACAATCAAAAATTAATTAAAATTGAACATTTAATGAATATGAGGTGTTTATAACAATACTTGCCCATACTGTATCGTGTGACTTCACTACAGCCTTGGTTCTGAACATACAACACACACACTTTGTACTGTGCAGGACATCACTCCATGCAATGCTCACAAATCTGCCCAGAAGACTTCTGCTCCAGTTCAAGACTATCGTGTGTTAGGAAAGTCAGTGTTTTTACTGTACAAAGCACTCTGCCTTTGTAGACACATACTAATTTATCACTGCAAAACAACTTTTAATATTTTCCTGAGCGTGTGTCAAATGAGCACATCTTTCCATGGGTTGTATGTTTCAGAATGTTTGATGTTTAAAAAAAATGTTTGAGGGGCAGGAGAGATGGCTCAGCAGCTAAGAGCACTGACTATTCTTGCAGAGGACCTGGGTTTGATTCCCAGTACCCATGTGGTGGCTAACAACTGTCCATACGCCAGTTCCAGGAAATCCAATGCCCTCTTCTGATCTCCTCCAGTGTTTCATGATTTAGGTGCACCTACCTACATGCAAGCAATATACTCATACACATAAAATAAAAAATAATAAATAAAATATTTTTGAATGTTTGATGTGTTGATTAAAAGTTCATTTTTTAAAAAAAAAATCATTAAATGAATTTTTGCTTGGCCTTGGAAAAGGATTTCTAACAATTTTTGTATGCTTTTCCTGATCAAAACAAAACCCAAAATGTTGTACTGACAGTCCTTAGTGCCTTCTGCATCCTTCCAGGTTTGTAATGCTGAGCATGTGCTGGGTGAACACAGAGACTGGAACCCAAAAACAACAAATTTCTTTCCTTCAAACAATTAGGACTGGAGCTCTAGATACAGCGTTGAAGAGGATTCTGGAGGTGAGTGTGTGCTCAACAAGAGACAGTATTTTCATTTGTTAATACTGCCTGCAGGCAGAACAGAAAATGCCATACCATATTTTTGCAATCCCAAAACAATTTTTGAACCATATAATATTTAAATAAGAAAGACAAGTTATACCTACAGAGGAGACATGTGTTGAGTGAATCAGGCAGCTGTGTTCCAAGGCAGAAAAAAAAAAAAAATGAAGGTTGACTGCAAACCAATTCAAATAACATGCTGAGAGAGAGCCGCCTCCTGTGCTGATTGGTTCCATGTGGCTCGTTGAGCAGGTTTCCTCCTGCAACACATGGACTAACGTCAGAGGCTCACCCATGCATTCCACTCCCATATGTTTGCTACATATGTGTGTTTAGGCTTTGATGGCTTGTTTGGGGGCTGCAAACAGGTTGCTTACAGAAATTTGGAATTCAACAGGAAAAATTAACTATAAATAGCATATAATTTGCCAAAAGTTGAGCTGGTAGTGTAAGTCAGTGGTGGTGGTACAATATTTGCCTGGAATGCTTGAGGCTTGAGGTCCTGGAAGGCAAAGGTGGGAGGGAGAAAAAAAGAGATGGGGAGGAGGGTCGGGAAAGAGTTTTTACTGTTCAATCAACTATAAAGAAGCAATTGCTCTTACTTCCCCTAGTGGCCAAGACGGAAACTGCCTCTGAGCCAGTCAGTGACCAGTTATTTTGGTGCTACGTTGGGAAGTAATTCTTTTGTGCTTTTCCCAAAGCCAGCACCTTTATGACCCTGTGATGGCCCTGCCTGACTCTGAGCGCCAACATGTGGTGCACTGGAACCCAAATCAGATATTTGGTCCTGTTCTCTGGCATCCCAGGGGACAGGCAACAACCTGAAGGCCTCATATATGAAGATGTTCTTCTTACCTTTGGTAGTTTTTGCTTCTAGCTTGGCCCTGACCCTTCACCTTCGATCTCTTACTAAAAGGAAAACACCTTTTCCATAATGAGGCTTTTTCACTGAAAACAGAGAATTAAAGTGGAGAAAGGAAGCATAGAATTTCCCAGTTTGTACATGCCCCAGGAGTGAATTAAATGCACTTCCCCCTCCTCCAATTTGGTAGAAGACATTAGTCAGTTGCTAACAGTCCCCCAGAATAGCCCACATTGAAATCCTACCCCACAGAGGCAAAAAGCACATTCAGGAAAGAACAGACAAAGGGAAGAGAGGAAAGGAGGAAAGAAGAGAGAGAGGGACAGAGAGGAAGGGAGGAAGGAAGAAAGGAAACTAAACAGAGCTACTCATCAATTTGTCTATTTTGTGGGGGTGCTACTTATTTTTTATCAATTTGACAGGATTTGATTCACAATTACCCAAAATAAAGAATTTGAGAGTTGGAGTTGTGCCGCAAAGGAAAAATGCTTTCCTAGCACTTGTGAGGACCTAGGTTCAAACCCCAGCACTACAAAAATAAGGAGAGGAGGAGGAAGAGGACAAAATTGATCGTTGAGTTAAGCTGACTGAAGTTCACATAGATAATAAATGGCACAATCAAGGTGAAAACCCAGACCACTGAATCCCTACACCCTCATGCTGCCCCCTGTGCCTCACTGTTGTGTTAAATTGGGAGACTAGCGTTCATTTCTCTGTAACTTCACGATAGAATTAAGAGAGGTTGCTTAAAACACGATTTGCTGACGTCCAAACTTTCCCTGATGGATCATCCTCAGAGCCTATTGTTGTCTGACTTCAGCAGTCCTGGGACTTCCCAGGCCCTGAAGGACTGTAATTATGCCTCTGCCTCTGTAAACAATTCATCACTGAGGACTGGCATGCTGAGAACCCAACGGTCCAGGAAGGCGCTTCTAATCAACCATTTTATGTCAGGCTGACAAAAAACCCAAAACTCAGTATCTAATTAAAAAACACACACTATCCTTTATAATCTTGATTTCTTAGTAAAAACAAATATACAAAACCACTGAGCTATTAAAAGTGAATCTTACAGTGACTGGATAGCAAGTCACTCTTTCATCCACATTTAACTCAGAACTGCATGTGTAGCAGTATTGAATACATTCTTACAAGAATAAATGAATGCATTTCTCCACCCCTCCCTGTTTCATTGTGATGAACAAAATCCTCCTGGTGGGAATCTCTTGTTAACCTACACAGTTAATCTCCTCCTATTCCTTCCCCTTGAAGATAGACGCGGATGGACATCCCTCTCAGTCCACATGGCGGTTTCAGGTGAACCACAGCCTATCGACAATAATAAAAGGAGTCATTGCATCCTTTATAAACAGACTTACAAAACAGCGCAATTTCTAAAAGTAATCCACTTGCTTATTTGCTACTCCTCCACAGCAGAGTTTTTTTCATCCTTTACCTCACAAAAGCCCAAGGGCACAGACTACCTTGTCCTCACTGATCCCCACTGTCCTCAGAGCATCTGACAAATAGTGGCATTTCACCTGCTTTACTTCCCAAAGAGAACAGGAATTCCCACATATAGGCTATCATTATATATTACCCCACTGGTAGAAACCATCCCTAAATAATATGAAAGATAGTGTTGATAAAATGCTGTATTGATTTAATTACTGTAAGGATTTAATCTCAACATAACCTTATTAAAGTTCCATGAGGTAGGTATCACTGTACTTCCCACATTACAAGTGTGGACATTAAGGTATGAAGCAGGTCATTTTCCCTAGATTTTGGATAAGATGGGGATGGGGACCCAAGATATGAACCAGACAGTTACCAGAGTTCAAACTTTAATGCATCTGCTTATCATCCTATAGAAAATGCCAAGGAATCTTTTTTGAGTGCTAACTCTGATGCGTGCATTTTAAAGAAAACAGTGAATAGCTACTTCCTTTCTTAAAAGTTTTGCAAGTGTTTCAACTCTGAACTTCTGAGTTCTGCACAATCAATCAGATGAGTAATAAAAAATCGAAAGTACCGCTGTTTTTCCCAAGCTGATAACTCACTGCAAATGGTTTGTTGCTTTTCTTATCCTTCTCATCATCTTGTGACTACTGTGTTGTTATAAGAACCCACTGGGTTCCAAATGGAAGGACAAGTAGAGATGTAATGCTGGGTGATTAAAAATAGAACACAAGCGTGTCTAGATCCTGAGAAGTGCAGAACTCGGAGAGAAGGTCTCTTCCTCTTGCCAAAGCTGCTGCCTCCCATGTAGCATATAGGACAGAGATTGTTTTTTCTTCAACATTAGATGTCTATTTACAGAAACTTCTCCCAGAAGGTACAAAAGCATCATTAGGATACAATTTCTTCTGGGAGTGGATGGTAAGATGGTGAGAAGCATCTAGTTCACTTTTCTTATTATTATTAAAGTATACTCACTAAAATAGCAATAGCTTCCATTTCACTTGTGTCCCAGTCATATTTACCTTTTACTTTATTTTAAAAACATTATTTATTGACAGGTACATTTTTTTTTTTTTTTTGGTCTTTTTGAGACATGGTCTCCCTATAGCCCCAGCTGACCTGGAACTCACTATGTAGACCATGCTGGTCTCGAACTCACAGAGATCCATCTGCCTCTGCCTCCCAATTTTTTATTCTCTCTCTCTTTTTTTAATGTTGAAGAAAGCCGTGAAACATACACAGTTTTTCAGTGTTGCTAAAGAGCCAACCCTTTGTGAGGAAGACGAGACTTACTGATAAATAACTCACAAAGACAAAAGAAAATGTAAGTTTTATTTCATTTAATTTCCTTAACTTCAAAGTACAGACATAATCACATTGAATCCACAAACAGTTCAAAACAAGTAGCCACATAGTCTATGCTGGACTAAGGCAAACTTTCAAACACAAGCAACACACTGACAAATATTTTTATTTCTCTATACAAGGAACATCCCCACTTCCTGTCCTCAACCTCAGTGTACTTATCATAAGTCAGTCTGTCCAGACTTTCTACCAGAATGTTCCTGGAGATGGAGAGAAGCCCCTAATCCTTTGAAAATTCTGGAGTATGTTCTAACACCACTTGATGAAGTAAACTACTTTTTATGAGTAATCATCCTAAAAGTTCAACATTCTGTTCGATGATCTTGTTCGAGATCTTGTTTTAGTACAGAATACTTTTTTTTTTTAGTACAGAATACTTTTCAGAAGTTAACTGAGTAAAAGATAATAGTGTCCACCTATTGTTTTCCTACACAGCACTGGGAGTTCTAGAATCTCAGTTTAGACACAGAACTAAGTGAGGACCTAGTGGAATATTTGACATCATCTCTAGTCAACAAAACAGGAAAACATCCAACAGGAAACAAGACCACACAATAAAAGAAACCTGCTGGGCATCAGCAGGTCCAGGTCTGCTTTTCCCTGCTTCTACTTTAACCTCTACTAAATAAATACAAAATAAGTTTATCTACAGCAATTAGCAAGAACAGAAAGGCAAAGCAACGTTCTCCAGGAGGCCTACAGGTGAATCACCTCCATCTTTTTTCTACAAAACACTAAATAGCAAGTCTGATTAAAACACTTCCCAATTTCTCCATTTTTCCTTTCAGAGTCTATTTAGTTTCTAAAGGGAGCCATTATTAAAATCCAGGATCCTTATCTTTTAGCTGAAATACTCTAAAATATCAGTCTGTTCCATGAAAAGACCAAGACAATCTTTTACTGAGTGCTTCCCTCCACAACTTCCTGTTTCCCATCTTCCCTCAACTTCCTTCTCTTGTACATGGGAGCCACTGAGTATGCAACAGTTTGCTTGGAATCTAGGAAAGTATTAAACAGGAAACCATACAAAATAAAGTAGTCTGGACCATTTGGAGAAACTTGCATACATAGACTCTAATAGTAGCAGGTCCCTCTATACAATCTCTCCACTTTCTGTCTTCATGGTTCAAAGAAAAATCATGCACTTCAAGTCAAAAGCATATCCTTGGCAGGTAAGCACTAAATACGAGTCTGCACCTGTACTCACACCCCATCACATCGCACTTCATACTACAGTCGCCTGCTCGTATATCCGGATCCTCTGTCAGAGAATGAGACCCTGGAGAGCAGGAGTCCCATCTGAGTCATCCGTGCATCTCCAGTGTCTGGCTCAGTGTTTGAAATGTCCATTCCTGGACTAGTAGGTTGGTCTTTCCCATTTCTAACTTGTCTCAAAGATCTCCTTGTTCTAACTGTGCTCATGTACACTGTCACGAAAGAGTATAGGACCTTGGATGAGGAGTAGAAACTTCTAAAACTAGTGACAGTATGACCCTCAATGGTCCTGGGGAGGGGGACACCAAGTTTAAGAGGTCACTCACAAAACCTGCTACATTTCAAACTAAACAGTCATGTAAACTTATTATTAGTAGAGAATGAGATTGGTTGTAAGAAATTGTAGGTCCCTTTTCAGATGAGATAATATATGAAAAGTTTCACAAAATAGATCAGGTGTCTAATAAGAGCACTACACATATGGACTGTTGCTGTTATGCCAGTGCCTTCTAAATATAGTCATGTCTTTAAAAATTCCTTAACTTTACTTGCTTTTTTCAGCTCACCATGATACTCTAGGATTAATGACATAGCGTTCGTAAAGTGTTTTAAAATCCCCAAAGTGTTATAATCAGCCCAAGTACCATTTTATTTATGCAAACTGTCTCTACCCAGCAAGTCCACTTAAATATCTAGGATTGGAAACTGTTGTCTCATAAGGCTTAATAAATGATTCCTTCTGGCTCTAAAAGTAAGTACTTCTTCAAAGACAATGGGAGGGACAGCTTAGGAATTGCCTTGTGGCACCTCTTCTGTAAAGCTCTTCGAATGGCACATCTCGACAAATGCATGAGGGACCTTGGAGTGTTGCAGCACACGGTGAAGAGAGAGTGGTAAAAATCCCAGTGTTTCTGGAAGGGAGGGCAAGACAGGTTAATTTGAGGAAGGCTCCATTGTCTACATGAATAAAATCCACAATGAGGCATTTATTCCTACTTTATATTTAAGGATAGCTTTCTCTGATGGTGGACAAAATTAAACACCAACCTAACATGGGGACATAAGGATGAGGGATATAAGAAGAGTGGAAAGAGAAGGAGGAAACATTCTACAGTTCACAGTCTAAGACATTATATAAACTACTGGTGTCTCAACTGCCTGGACTAGTTAAACCAAAACAGTAATTTTAAATTAACCTAATATGTTAATGGCAGTGGTGGATAGGATAACTAACTTGAAAAGGTAAATAGCTAATAATTACAGAATGAGATTACAGGTAAACCATTGGCCTCTATATCCAGGGAGCTTTGTATCCATGTATTAGACACAAGCTCGATTTCTAAAACCGACAACAGAATGCTCCATGGGAAGGTCTGGTTTGTAGAGGGAGCAAAGTCCTTAGATCACAAACAAAGCTTTGTGTGATCCACAGCAGAATTTTTAATGCTGTTTCCAGCCTAGTCATAAGCACTTCATGATAGTTTAAAGTGAGTGAAATGTCTACATAAAACACTGTAATTTTCTGGAAAAATGCTGAATGAGTAATCCCAAATATTATCACTTAATTCACCTAAGTTGACGGAAAGAAAGTATAACTGCCACCTTTATATATTTACTCAACCTTCCTTCAGAGAAATTCCTCCAGAGACTCCCTAATACCATGTATTTGACAGAATCATATGCACACATACCTGCATTTTCTAATCTTCTGTTTCATTATATTTGAGAAGACTTTAAAAGTATTCTCAAAATGAGTATTTTAAATTAGAAGTTTCCATACATGTATGGCAGTCTGGCAGCCCTCCATGGTGAAAATCACAGCCAGTAAATTATTACCTCCAAGTCATCATCAGGAATAGCTCTTCTCCACTTTATGTTCCACCTGATGTGCTCATAGGCATTGACAACAACTTCGATCGCTTTGGGGCAAGAATGACAAGCCTGGATCACCTGCCGAGGAAACAGAGTTTCATCCCTCAGTGCGCATACATAATTCACAGTTATCACAAAGGCATCAAGAATCCCTGGACCATGGTGGATACAGTAGCATGTACCTGGAGTCCTAGCTCCTCAGTAAGCTGAGGGATAGCTGGAACCCAGGACTTTGAGACCCACTCAAGACCCCAGCTCCAGACAGTGCCATCTAGAGCACTGTGCTTTTGAGAAGTCTCGGGTCTTTGAGTGATCAGTTATATTGCCTGACCTATTGCAGATGGGCAGATTAATGACCTCAAAGTAGCTTCCTTTACCAACCCTAAACAACAAAGATGAAGTGCCAATAGCAATAAGAAGACAGGACCATGAACAACTGCTTTCCCTGAGTGGTGGTGTCTCAAAATATGCTTCCAGCTAGCTAGAACTCTCTAAGCTCTACCAACAATTTTATTATAAAAAGATTGGATGTTAGTAATTCAAGGACCTAGCTCTATTGGTGATCCTGTGGTGTGTTAAAACAAACTTCAGAGTCACATGTGAGTCAACCAAAGACATCTCCCAGGAACAAGGCCTGTAGTAGACTAATGTCATACACACACCAAGCCACACTCACTGGATGCTGTGGCGCCTTAACTTTCATCAAGAAATAAAAATTGATGTAGAATACATTGGAAACATTAGCATGCTCCATTCCCAAATTCAATGATCAACCAAAAACATGGGGAAGTTAAGTTAAAGTGGCTCAATTCTCATAGGAAACAGAAATATTTCATTTTAGATTTAGACCAAAATAGGTATTTACCTCCTTAAACTAACCTTTGATTAGTCATTCAATATTACACCTATCTGCTCAATCAATCAAGTAGCATTTGTTAGGTTACAGAGTACAAAGATAAAGCATAAATATCCCCAAAGTAAAGCACGTTGGTTTCTAGTTAAAGGCTTATCATAATGATGAGAGCAAAACACACATACATTAAACAAGACGCATGGTGAAAGATGGTTGGTTTATATATTTAGGTGTTAGATTGGTGTAGCGCATGCCTATAATGATAGTACTAAGAAGTCTGAAGCAGGAGGATGGAGAGAGAGTTCAAGGCCAGCCTGGGACACACAGTGTGTCCTGTTCCAAACACATGCACGCAAAAGAAAATTAGAATTAGAATTGAAAAACAAAAAAAAAGAGCTTCAGAAATTCCAAGCCAGAGAGCTTGTGTAGATTGGGGCTAGTCAGGAAAGATATCTTTGAGGAGCAGAGTTCAACTTTCAGTCTTGGACAGTAGAAAGGTCTGTGACACCCCTTTCCTCTGGGTTTGGATGAGACAGAGAGAGAGGAAGGGTAGGAAAAGTCTTGAACAATATGACCTCACATGGCTGCCTTCCATGGTGTTCTTCTACACACATGGAGCTTGTACGAGTTCTACAGATGCCCCAATTTGGAACACTCATCTTTCTGTTGGCTCCTTACACCCACTTAACCTCCACAGAAGTATGGGCTCCTTACACCAGCTTACCATCCACAGGTGTGTGGGCTCCTTATACCTGCTTACCCGCCACAGAAGTTTCTGTTCACTAGGATTCTTCTACCATGTTTCTGCCAAGATCGCCTGATCACTGGAAGTTCTTCCATATAGCCTGTTTTCAAAACTGTCCCCAGCTGTCTCTGCCATGATGCTCACAATGGCCCATGCAGAATGTCTCACCATCAGTGAAATCACTCCCAATGCCCAGTTAAATCATTTTTCTCTCCTTTGCCACCAAACAAGCAGCTCAAGTCACAGACTTCCTCCTTGGACTGTTCTCATCATTAATTACATATCAGTCTCCTGTTTTTCCTTAATTTCAGAGAACATATCAAGCTGTTTGAGGAAGGTTTCTAAAGCATCTCTCATTGGGCATGAGATGAGAATGAACTGTCCCCAAATCATTAGAAGAAAGGCAGGCCCCTGTACTTCAGTGCAGAGAATGTCCTTGTTAATTACCTGGCCTATCTCAACCCTAGCCTGTTGCTCTTGGTTCCCCCACATGCTTTACTAATTCTTCACAGGTGGTCTAGCATTGCATTTTTTTCAATGTACAGTGATAAGTGCCTAATGTCTTAAAAATCTTTGGAAAACCTGTGAAAGGAAAATTATCATTTCAACACTCATCTATGAAAGTATATATGTGTGTGCATGCATGTGCACATGTGGGAGGTTGTATACTGATGGAAAAAAAATTGTCAGCCTGAATGGAGGGCTCATGATAGGAAAGGGATATAGAGCAGGCAAGAGGGAGCTTGCTGACACTGCACCAGGGATGCTAGAGAGAAGAGAGAAGACCCTGAATTGACTTGACAAGAAACAGGATGTTACTACATGTTCTTAGCAAGAATGGGCTGCAGCCAATCTATTCATTCCATTAGGAAACCTTTATTGAGCACTGTCCGGTGCCATGGCAGTAAATCTGAGAAGTCTATGACCTGCTTTTTATTTTTTTTTTTTGTCTTCAAGTTTATAACCTAGCTGAACAGAAAAGACACAGATATTTTCAAAGAGTTAGAGAGCAATAAAGTCAGTAAATAATAAAAGACTAACTTAAAGATCATCAAGTGTCCCTTGAGCACTGTGAACAAAAGTAGAAAGGAGAAAACAAGCACATCAAGGGCAGAGAACTGAGAGGCTGGGCTAATGCCACTGTTAAGTCCCAGCAGGCAAAGAGTAAGTGGGGCTTAATGCTAGTCAGATATGGGGAGTAAAGAATGCAACTTGGAAGGCTGAAATCTGGTAAAACAAATGTGCCACTGACAGAAATCCTTTAAATGATATGAAAAAGGAACAAGGCATTGGAAGACTTACTATGTGTCTAACTCTGTTAAATCCTGATACTTTATCTTGCTCAAGCTTTATACATCCCTATGTGGTTAATCCTATAATCATACCCATTTTACATATAAATAATCAAGGCTGAGAAAAGTTAAGCTTCGGGTCATTTAACCAGTACATTGTTGAGCTGCGTTGCAGACACAGGTGTGCACAAGTCCAAAATCAAAAGACCAAGACATTTCAGAGTGAAAGACACCAAATAGTGTTCAGAGCTGGGTTCTCTCTCTGGGCTTGGATGCCCAGAGAGATATTCACAGACTGAACACTGTCAGATTTGATTAGAAGGCTAGTTTATTCAGACTTTGTTTAACTGAAAAAATTCAGGATCAAATAATGAGGGATAAATTGAGGACAAGAGACACTAGGGCTGGCACACCCTCATCTTCACTGGGATCCTTCATGTTTCAGTATTCAGTTTTAGAGGCTCATAAATAACATTCTTTTCTGAGTTAAGAACCCACTAGGCTAAAATGAAGATGACAAGTGGAGATCCTCTTACCTTACCCACTTCTCAAGTAGAGTTGCCAGACTTGGTGAGCTGTGGGAATGACTTCTGGGAATGCCTTCAATCACAAATGGAATCTTATCTAACCTTGTAACCAAAGCTAATTTTATGCTTTAAGATCATTTAACACTAAGTTTGTTTATAATATAAACAAGCTTACTAGGCCTTGGGCTTTTCTTGTAACCTAAACATAAAGCTTCAATTCCTCATGGCCCTTCCCTGTCCTGGACCAAGCACAATGTGGTGTGTGTGTGTGTGTGTGTGTGTGTGTGTGTGTGTGTGCTGTGAAAATGCAACTACTGAAAGCAGCAATGTTGAAAGCAATGGATTATCTCATTTGTGCTGCAAACAACAGGTGGAATTCAATTGGTAACATCTGTTTGTGCTTGTGTGTGCTGTTCTAGGTCAGTAGGGGTCAGAAAAGGAAAATCCTTCTTTGTCTTGTCCATTTCATGCTGGATGGACCATTTTAATGAAGAGAGACCAAGACCTTTGTTGTAGAGAACAGTTCCAAGAGAAATCTGAAGGAATAAGTTCTCAGAACAGATCAGGCTCCACTCTTAATTTTAATGGATACTATGAGTCAGTCTGTTTTTATTTAATCATCACTGTCAATACGATATCCCACTACCACAGTAAGTGATAATAATGTAGGCATCATAGTTAACTTTTAATTTCAGGTGTACAATGAATAATTTTCATATATGTCCCAAATATTGCCTGAGAAAAGTTTATGCTAAAATTTCTTTGTTATTTGTTTGAAATTCACACACCATCCCCAGTATTTTCTTGATAATCCTATCCCTGGCCCCTATTCACAAACAGTTTGAAGTTGTACATGCTGAAATATGGCTAAGTATTCATACTTAGGAGCTGAATATTACACGTCCCCTGCTTCCATTTGCACCTGACATCTTCCCAGGTATCACAAGGCGACGGCTTCTCAGGTTTCATTAGGGTAAAATATTAGGTGGTTCCAAATCGTGATCTTCTGCAGCCAAATGCAGTGGGTCCCAAGCTTCCACTACGTCATTAGTTTTTACTGACAGTCTGCTACAAAGTTTTCTGCTGACAGAAGACTGTATTCTCAAAGCATGAAAGGTTCATTCTAGCCTGACAGCTTCCTAGCTGTAGTTCCTGGCACTTCAGGTTTCTTCTAGCACTGAGACAACAAGACATGCCCTCTCAAGCCTCAGTAATGATTTCACCCAGGTTGGAGGTGGGAATAAGAGGCAGAAAACTGTAAAGCAGCACACTGATGGCCAGGAATCTAGACTATCAAATGCCAGTGGACCACTGCGGAGCCCCAAGGGAGAAGCCCTGCTCTGCTTTGGTTTTGCTGGCCTAAAGGGCAGACAGCACCCAAGGAGCTTTACTTCCATCACTCTTTGGTGACTTTCTTCTCCCATCACAGAACAACAACTGGACAGAGATGATGAGTTCCTTCTAAAATGGTGATAACTGGAGAGAAGTTCAGACATCGTGGAGAGAGGTTCAGATATCATCTGATCTCTAAAAGCATAAATAAACAGAGTCAAGGAGCTGGAGATGTAGTTCAGTGGGTAAAGTGCTTGCTGCGCAAGTGTGAGGACCTGAGTTCCACGGCTAATACCCTTATAAAAAGATGGGTGTGCTAATCCCAGCAC